AGGGAAAGCATAGAATTACTGAATAGTAAAGTCCTACATGCTTTGCTGTGCTTGATTCATCTGCCTAGTAATTCATTAGAAGAAAATTCAGCTCCTCCTGATGAGTAAGGGCCAAGATTGACAGAGGTATTAAGAGACAGAACTATGTAGGAGGTTGAGTGGGAGAGAGGTGCAACTCGGATAGTGTATGTGTAAGAGGGATTGTGGTAGGGTGTCAGAGGCACTGGCTGATCAAAAGCGACCTGTACAAAAGCATCTCCTACAGAGCCCAAGAGATTGTTAACTTACAATGAACCTTCAAGACGTATTCCCAAATCCTGTGAGCTGAACATGCTTGCTTTTAGCTGTTAAACTGATTTTTCAACTGCAAAAGATTCCCTAGAAGCCACAGTCCTGGGAATTGGGTGCAGCATTTGTTCTGTAACTCTTGCTTATAGTCTCATTTTGTCAACTGAGGAAGACTGCAGCTGAGAAGAGGAGGGGCTGAGCAACTGGAGGCTGAGATAGCAGCTCAGACATCAGTCACCAGGGCCTTGGAGGTAGTAGAAGGCCTCATTAAGCGGATGCTGATTGAGTCATAGCAGAGATTGGAGGCTGGAATGGCCCCTCGCAGGGGAGGGAGCGCTCTGTGTTCTCCGATTGTCTGTCAGCATCTCAATGAGGGATGCGGGCTTTGAAAAGTGTCATGCAGAATCCTAATGAAGTACCAGAGCCCAGGCTGAGGGGCAGGCTCGGGAGGATAATCCTGATGATCTCTCTTTGGAGCAGTGCATTTGTCAGATCTTACAAAGCAGGAAGGGGAGGCCTGTCAGGAGTGGGCTCAGCCGGCCTGTTCATGCTCTCACTGGTCCTACAATGACTCCATGTACGATGTGGGAAGGGTGAGAAGAGGATGAACCCAAGCTGAGGGCTGTGGGTGTGCTGGAGGGAACTGGGAACCTTTTGTGCCCCCACTCACCTGTGCCATGCGCAGCTAGAGCTGAGCCCGGGGAGAAAGGGGCTTGTGTCTGATGCTTCCCCATGTTTGCCTTCCACTCTGGGAATCTGATGATGGCTACCTCCTTTGGTCATTTGGCACCAAGATCTCACATTTTTTCAGAGGGACAGTGCCCCGGTTGCCACCTCTCCATTGACTGTGGAGGTTTGCTCTCTCCATAGTAATCCAGGACACGAGTGGGCTCCCAGCTACTCCATGTGGGATAGCAACGGCTGCTGCTTCCTACAAACTACTCAGCTTGGGGTCAGAGCTGGGTTTTATTTATGCCTGTAAATCTTTCCTTTTCTACTTATCCTTTCCTCCCACTCCCCTTGCCTCTGCTTTCCCTGGGGTGACAGGACAGTGTGCAGTTTACATCTCGTAATTGACTGCATAATGCATAATGCATTTTTCTATTTTAATGAATCACTAGCTTGCTTTGATGGCTTTTTTCATTATTTTTCTTCCTCCCATTGAAATTTCCTTGGTGGATAGGAAGGAGGGAAAACAGCCTTTTCCCCTCACATATTGCTTAGGTGCTGATCTCAGTTATCTTTTTTTTGCCAGTCCTTGTCTTTTTATGTGGAATATTTTTCTCCTTTGAGTGCAGCACAGGGAGGAGTCAAATCTCCTTTGCCAGCCTCCCGCTCCAGCTCTCTTTTACATGATGGCTTTGAACTGGGGAGAGCAGCCAGTGGTTAATCTCCCTAGTGACAGGCTGCTAAGGAGAGGAGTGTGGGTCAGGAGTGAGCGCAGCCTCATCAGGACAGTCTTCCTTTGGCAGAAGGAGATCCCCTGCTCTGGGGGCACTGGCTCAGTCTGTCCTGCTTGCTGTCTTCCTGCCTGATGTCAGATGTCCTTCCAGCACACCTGCCCCCGGTCCTGCTGGGCTCATTGAACTCTTCTCTCATTCAAGGTTTATGTGTATAAACTGGAAGTTTTCTGTGCCATATGGACCTGGTTTAATTTGCTGACCTGAATGAGCATTTCAGGTAGTGCAGACCTTGAAAGGAAACAGGCACAAAAGGAGTAAAGCCATTCAGTAAAGGCACAGAAAGGGCTGTGGTGGGCAAGACTGTGTTGGTGGGTTAAGCATACAGACAGGGATCTGAGGGAACGCTAAGAACAGTTTGACCTTCGCTGCCTGCCAGGCTCTCTGTAGCTGGTTAGTCCTTTCCACTTTGTGGTTTGCTCTGAGTTGGAACTTAGCAGGAGCAACTGGGCTCAGCCTGTTCAGTTTGTCTGTGGTTCACTCGGGGCTTCGATGGGACAGGAAAGGCAAGCGTGGCCCGGAGGCTGAATTCAACTGGCTGAGCACAAGAGTCGTGGGTGAGGAGCAGGATGCATCCTCGCACCCTGCTCCCTCCACGATCTGGAGAAAGGCTTGGATCTGTCCTCACAGTAAGGCCCAATGGAAAGGGTGCAGGGAGGAGTGAAGACATGATAGTTGTTTTGCTGCTCTTCTGCTCTTGTCCTGAGAATTTCAGCCCCTACACAGCCCCGGTACATTTGGGGAAGGCTGCTGTGCTGACAGTTTGAGCCTTTGGCAGACGGCAATAAGAGGCAGCCAGGAGGGTTTGGGGAAGGGCTTTTCTTGCCTTCTGGATCTCCTATCTGCATTCAGCTCTGATCTGCTCCTTTCTCTGCTCCCTCCTTCCCATGTTTCTACTTCTGTGATTTTACTTTTTTGATGGATTATCTCCAGGCATCCACTTCATCAACCCTCTAAATAACCAAACAAATGCATGGAGGGAAGCAAAGGGGGTCTTAATAGCACAGTACCGTCTGACTCGCAGCATGTGAGTGGTGGAGAATCTTCCCCTGTCATCAGTGGATCGCTCACCCTCAGGACTGTGGGGCAGGCCTCTTGTTTGCTCACTGTTTACTGACCCTTCTTCACCACTGTCCTGTTGACTTGCATGGAGAAGACCTACTCAGGCCGAGGGAGGGGGGAGCAGGAAGCTGAATGCATGAGGTGAAGTATGTGCCGGTGTTATATCACTGAAGGGAGGCATAAGAACCCATTCTAGTCTTGTTAACAAGTGAGCTGTGTGGACTGCCCGGCTCTTCCCAGCTGAGCCTGGATGCAAATGGCTGTTGACCTTGTGTTGTCTTTCCCTGACAAAAATTAGGGTTTGTGTTTCCAGCTCGTTCAGCCTGTTCTTGTAAAGCAAGAGTTAATGAAACTGCTAAAATCACAGAGCTCCTTTGGGAGAAGGTGGTCCCTTCCTTGTTTGCTGCTTGTCTAATAATGCTCTTTGCAGGGTGGTGTTCTAGGGCAGTTCAAACCAAGCCACGTGGTGGTGGCTGCCGTTCTGCCTTGCCCCTGGCCACGCAGTCCCACCCTCCCAACTGCTGGCACTGGTACTTGTGCGATCACGCAGTGGTAGGGAGGAATGGAGCTGCCTGAAAAGTAAGCTTTTTTGAGTCACTCAGTGGCTGAGTGGCTTAGCGTCTGGTCTCATCAGCACCAATACTGACCCGAGAGGGCTGGAAGGGGGCTTCTGCTGGGATCAAGCCCCCTAGATCACATTTCGGATCAGCTTGTATTGCTGTGGACCTTCCCCCCACCTGGCCCCGCAGAGGAGAGGCTGTTTGCCAGGCTGCTCTGCTGTGTTTCTGAATGTGGCTTGTAACGGCAGCCAAGGAACCAGGCCTTAGGCTCCTGTTTGACTGCGTAGAGACTGTGGTAGGAAAGGGAAAGGACAAAGGGGAGGTTTCCAAGGGGGCAGAAGTGCAAACTAAAGCCTTTGGAAAGCTGGAGGCTGAGCTTAGGCACAGGCAGCCATGCACAGCTTGAGGCCTAGTGCCTACTGCTCCTTCAGGCTCTGGGCAGATGTTGGCAATAGAGCACTCAAAAATGATCTTGGATGCTTCACACTCTATCTCGCAGCTGGACTCAGAGAGTTCCTGGTGACAGGAGCTTTGGAAAAAAAAAAAAAAAGAAAGGCTATTAAAATACTTGGAGCAGCCCATTTAGCTCCCCGGGCAGAGCATCCCTTTATTCTGCAGTGCTGGTCTTGCAACACACGCACGCATACACACACAAGGAATCATTTTCTTCCTACGCTCTGCAGAAAGCCAAACCACCTCTTCCTCACTGACATATGCCAATACCCATCTCCTGCTTTTACCCTCCTCCTCCTGCATCACACATGTTCCAGTCCTTCCTGGGGCTCTCACCCACGCACGCCGCAGGCCTCTGCTGTCACCACATCGATGAGCTCTTTCCTCAGCACTCACGTGAGGAGACAGCCCTTTGCAGAGCTGTGATTCTGGATGCGCGGGTTTTTAAGTTCCACTTCTTGTAACATCTCTCAGACAAACTGGTCTTCTGCCCCACTTCCTGTAGTTAAATGGCACCTGACAGCAGCAGGATTTATCACGTGCAAACAGCACAAAAACACTGTAGGATGAATAGCTGAGCACGCAGGTAGTCGTGAGGCTGGTAGCAGAGGAGGGGGAGATGTTCAGTGGCAGAGGGAAGAGGAGGAGGACAGCGGTAGGCAATCCAGAGAGGATATCCCAAGTAGTGAAAGAAGTAGAGCGAGAGCTCTTTTGTCCAGAGCGCTGAAGCAGATGGGAGAAGAAGCAGGTGTAAACATGAAAGGGAAAAGCAGGGCCTAGAAGGGAGGTGTGAGACTTGCACTGCACCAATACAGGAGTTTAGCAACCGCCCCTAGAAGGTAGCAGTCTGCCCAGGCCCTGGTTGAGAGGCTGCAGGTGATCCTAATTCCCTCTGCTGTAATGCAAATCTGAAGTTTTGCCCTGGACCTCCTGGAACATCTTTCTATAGCTCCACAGAGCTCCTGGACCGGACAACTGCCAGTCTTGGGGCTGTCTGTGGAAGAGAGTGAGCCACTCTGCCACCCTACTGCTGCTCTGATATCAAGTCCATGATTTTGTGGGTGTTTCTTCAGTGTTTCTGTAGCCTATATGTCACTCCAGAGTATTTTGAGAAACCTTTGCCACCTTTGGTAACTTTAGCAAACAGAGTAACTTTGGAAACAAAGTAGAGAGATGGTCTCCCCCTCACAGAGTGTTGTATGTCACGTAAAGCAGGGTCAGCCAGCCAAAAGACCTCATGTTTCAGGAGACCCTTTTTAGCAAGAGGAATTTCTTTAAGCTAGGGAGGAGGAGTTGACCAAAGTTGGCTTTGGTTCCCAAACTGCCAGAAGAGGCCTTTGAAGCTGAGGTAGTGCTGGCACCATGAGCGAGCCCTGGCAAGGACCAGCTGTGCTGGGGGGCCAGCTGGCTCCCCCCAGGGTGGGGTAGGATGGGCTGACTCATGCCGGGAGGTCAGGGAAGGTGCCCTGCGCTCTCTCACTGCGGGCTTGGCAGGGATCTGGTAAGCCAGTTGGGAAATCCTTTTATTGTTTCCCTCTGACCTGCTTGAACCCTCCCGACAAGATGAATCATTTGCAACAAAGGATATGACCCTTTGCTGGAAGCGCTCCTCCTCTGCTCCGCTGATGCTGAGCAGCCTGGGGCATGCCTATTGTGCCCAGCCCTAATGAAAGTCCTGTTTTCCAAGAGAAGCTGGTAGTTAGATCTACCATCACGCCCCACGCCCTTGTCAGGAGAGATTTCTTCACTTGATCCACAAACCCTTTCTCCTGTTCTCTCCTCCCCAGATGTTTGGTTGTTCATTGGTGGGATGTCCCTCTAGCTCCTCACTGCAGGGAGACCTTCCCAACCAGCTCATTAGTGAGAAGAAATGAAGAATGAAAGCTTTGGAAAGCTCAGTGTTTCCCTCTGAGCTGCTGACTGGACTGTGTACCTTCTACCCCTTTATTTCTGTTCTAGGCAAGCTTAGGAAATCAAGCTTTGTCTTCCTCCCACCCAGCTCTCTTTCTGAGAGATCCTGCCTCAAAGGGGTTTTTGCTGCCTTACGATAGTGCTGTGTCTCGTCAGTCTGGGTAGCTTGTACCCAGGAGTGCCAGCCAAAATTAACTCAGTGAAAAGGAGTGGTACCTCAGTCCCAGATAGGGAGTATAAAGGCTGTTGAATCACAGCCCTGTTTTGGCATCCTCTGGCTGAGCTTCCTCTCTGGGTGTAGGGAGATGTGGGACAGAGAGTGAGGCTGCTTGCAGGAAGTCTGCCTGGATGATGACAGTCAAGGACTGTGCAAGTGGCAGATTGGTTGTGACTACCATAGGCAGGAGAAAGGGTGGCCTGGGTGGGCCCAGCCCACCTGTGCAGGGAGGTCTGGAGCCTTGCTACTGTATGGGAATACTGAGAGGCTTTCCTTCTCTCACTCTGTGGAGGCCTGGCACAAAAGTTTCCAATCCCTGGAGCCCTGTGCGTTGGCCTCCCTTCGCTTACAGGACATACTTGTCCTCAAAATACTCTGATTTAGATGATGGTGCTGAAACAGTGCCAGAACCAAGGGCAGATCTAGGGCTGAGTCATGGTCCTTCATAATCCTCCAGCAGCACTCATGGGCCTGCGCCCTCCTTGGCCCGTGAAGGAGCACCAGTGTTGACCACGGTGAAGGCTTGTCCCTGCCACCAGAGACCTCTTCCCAGGAGGGAGGGAGTGCTCAGTCCATGCTCTGGACTAGTCTGGGACATTTTTCAGCTAGGAACTCTCCTCAGGTCGCTGAGCTGGGCTCTGGGCTGATCTTTGTGCTGAGTGTCATACACCTGCTAGTGCCTGGCAGAGGGACACAGGACTAGGTCAGGGCCTGCCACGTCACTGCCCAATGGGGAAGGGACAATGTCATATAGCAGCTGCGTAGCAGAGGTTAGCGAGCTGGGAGAACATCTTTACACCTAAGAACAACGATCAGAGGTTGAGCTGGCAACAAGGAGCTATTCTCAGTGCCTTGGAGGAGCTGAGCTGATTTGCAGCGTAATTAATATGCATCAGATTTAGAAACCTGAGATCAGGGTTTTGACTTGCTGAGAAAATCTCTCTTTCC